AGGTAAGAGGACTTACAGGGCCATCTGGATGCACTTATCTCTGCCTCCCCTCTATTTTTTGTTTAAGGCAGATAACTTTGAAGATGCAACCAGTGTTTGCAGCTTTTAAGGACTACAGAGCAGACAGTTTCAGAAGTTCAAAATTTATCCTTGATGAGTAAAATAGAAGAAATTAGGCAGATGGGATCAAATCTGTGCCTGGGGCAAGAGACTCGAAGTGAATAAAGTTCCACTTTTGGCAGATAACATTTGCTTTGGGCAACTTCTGATCTCCCATCAATTGCACATCATCAGCAATTTCCTATTCTCGGCTCTTGTAGCCTGAAACAAAGTATTCTGCTCACCACTGTCATGGGAGAGAAATTGGCAGAGGGGAGAAACACTGTCAGGCTTGAGCAGAAACCTGGTGTCTCTTGTCTGTAGTGGTTTCTTCAAGAGATGGGTCTGGGAAAAGAGCCCTGACTTAAATGCATCTGTCACATGACGATGGACAGGCCGAGAACCAGTCTGTTCCTCCCGGGTGCCTTCGTGCTCTGCTCTCTCGCCCTCTCTGCACCTTTTAAGGTGCATTTTTGATAAATGCTGTTCTGTCTTCCTCACGAGTCAAAATGTTGGTTACCTTGAAGCAGAGCGTTTAAGTGCATGCTAATAAGTTCATGCTTGTTTGCAAGATGACCTGAAGAACGTGTGTCCCTTTGCTACACTTTTCCTCCTAATTTCCTTGTCCACAATGAATCACACTCAGTGCTGATACTTCATGTAACTTCCACACACCAACATTTAACCAACAAGTAACCTTACCTATTTAGCAAGTTGTTTGCATATCAGTAAGTCTGATGACCATCCATGAGTATTTCCTCTTGGTTTTCTACTTCAGTTTTAGTTGCTGCTGCTAATTCAATATTTAGCACATTATGACAATGAAACCTGCAAAGAACCCTGTCTGAAATGGTTTTGTTCATCGTGAAGGACATAGGTGAATGAGGGACCTCAGCTGGATGGGGATGAGCTTCACCCCACACACACACCTGGGAAGAGTTACGGACATCATGTGCAAGAAGCCCCACAGTTGGAGGTGTCCCACTCCCTGAGGGCCCACGCAAGGATACGCTGTGTTGGAAGAGCCGGCGCCCGCTGTGGAAGGATCCTGTGGCCTCCGAGGTGTTTCCTCTCCGCAGCTACTGAGCACGGGCTGCCACGCAGCGTCGTGGGAGGGAGGGCTGTGCGCTTCCAGCAGAGCCGCCCAGCATTGCCCCAACAGAGGGCTTTGATGGATTCACATCATAGCGTGCTCTGCCCTACTGCGTTCACTTTGTTCTCTGCTAAACTGCAATGTAAAAGTTAGCTGCAGAATATAAAAAGCAGAGGTTATTTTCCCCCTTAGAGGATTTCAGAGATGTAGTTTTGATTTTTGGTGTTAGATGTGTTGCTTCTCTCTGTAGTCAATCATTAGAGATTTGAAATTCCATCAAATTCTATTCAGGTTAAGGAATTCCCCCAGAGTAGCGAAAGATCCAAAAATAATTCCTCCTTTAATACCGTAGATTATGGGAAGATGCTCTGTCGGTATACAGTTTAACTCTATTTACTCCAATGAAAATACTTGATGGGTTTAAGCTATCCGAGAGAGGAGTCAGGTCCAATGCGTGTGTCCAGGGACAGCAGTGATGGAAGCTGAAAGGTGAATAATGATTTGGTTGTTTCAGTTTCTTGGAGAATGTATTTTGTGGAGGAGGAAACTTTTATCAAAAAGATGTACAGATTTTATTGCATTGTTTTCCAGAGAAGAGTTTCTCAGACATAAAAGTCTTGTCATTCGCACAGAAGAGGTGTAAATTACATTTCACACTTCTGCCTAAGCACCAGGAACCATCTAACTTGCCTGTGCTGTTGGTTAAAGAAGCATTAGAAACAAAGGAGTCTGGACTGGAAGGCGTTAGTCTGGACTGACCTTGGTTGATGATATGGCTTAGAACAAGCTATCTTGCCTCCACAGCTTGAATCTTCTAGCTAACGTATACATACCTAACCTCAAAGTGGGATCTTGAGACTTAATTAAAGCTTTTAAGGCATAAATATATTTTGGAATAAAAATCCGACATATTTTCAGTAAACAATCCGTAGCCTTTCTAAAGGACCAGACTTGAATATAATTCTTTGGTTAATCCATACCCATCTTCAGGTAACCTGCACAAACGGGATATCTGAGACAGGGAAAGTATCTGGGTACCGGGATTACTTGGAAGATCACAGAGTCAGGGCTACTTCTGATGGCCACTTGAAGTACTATCTTATAAGCAGAAGTGTCTGATCGGTGGAGGTCAGTCTTACAGTGACGTATGGGTTATGTGGGGGAACTGGAAGTTACTAGCTTCTACTACTGAATTATTTTCATCCTGCTCTTCATTGTGGGTTTTCGAATGCTACAGGTACCCATTTACCAAAAAGTTGGTTTTTCTTGGGGTTGCAGATGCTAAGGATACACTGCATCTTCCAGTGCTTCTTGCACACCACCTTTCTGTTCATCTGTCCACATAACTAGTGACCCAGTGGAACTGTTGCATGGTAATTCAGAGAACTGAAGTAAATCAAATGAAAAGTTACTAGCAATAACTCTGCCTTTGCAAGCTGAAAGCATAATGGAATTCCCGGGGTGATTTCCTATGGTATTCCCTACGGTGTACTTCAAGGAAAAGTTAGGATGCCTCTGCTCCAAGTACTATGTTCTTCTTGGGCACTATGTTCTTCTTGGGCACTAGTAACACTGTTGAAGTCTTTGAATGGTGGCAAGTTAAACAGATCAAAGCATAACTCATGGGAATGTCACAGGGGAAGGACGTACCAGTGGGTCAAGGTGACTTTGGGGAGGGTGTTTCCAGAGGACAGCAAACCTCTAGCTTTTATTTTTTAAAAACACCTTGTTAATGCCTGCATGAAAGATGTGGAGAGCATGTGTTGGGATGGGGATGTTTCTGAATGTGAAGATTTTGAAGGGAATGTTGCTAAAAGGCAAAAAGCGACTTAGAAGGATGCCAAGGTCATGGATGATGGAGATATGGGTATATAGGAAGTGCAGGCTATTAGGCTATTAGGCTTTCCAGTGTGTTCTGCATGTGTAGGAGTGGAGGAAAATTAAATTTGGAAGGAGGGAGATTAAATTAAATTTTGGAGGAGAAATGGGGAAAAGTGAGCAGGATATTCAAAAGAAGCAAAGGAGAAGCTAGGAGAGGAGGAAGGGTAAGTTCAGCATCAGCTGGCTTTGCCAACAGACCAGGACAATGAGGTAACTACGGAAAGGAAACTTGGGAATCGAGCAGCTTTATGCTCCGTTTTGCAGTGAAATTGTCAGTGTGTTTGCCTTGAAACTGTGCAAATCCTTAGGCAGCAGCTGTACCTAGCTGGCACGTGACTGTGTCCGTGTGTCCGTAAATGCATTACTTCAATATAAAACACTGTGCTTTGTTTCAGAGAAAAGATGAAGCCCTCAGATCTCTGTGGGTCAAAACTCTTATTTTGTTTCTTTATAGGGAACTTGGTTAAATATAGAGAGACTGTGCTGTGTTCTGCAGTGTAAAATCTATTCCTCTTCTGAACATTTTGCAAAAGCCATGCCCATTGGAAAGGACTTGTCTTTTTATTGATCTTTTGATATTTAGTAGCTTTATCTAATGCTTTGAATTTGCCTGTTATCTGTGCACTTTGTTAGGCGTACCCTTGAGCAAATTACTTTTCTTTTATGATGCTGGTATTTTGAACTTAACTTAAGGTCATGCGGTTGAAACAAATACTATAAAAAATTCAGATTTTTATTGGCATTTTTAGTAAGAGAGCATTCCCTTAGTGTCTACAAACCCAAATATTGAAGCGTTGAGAGCCTGATAATCAGTGTCCCCTAGACGAGACAGATTCCATCGATTTCTCATAATCTAGTGCTGGAGGAAAAATTGCACAAAGTAGCAAAGTATAAATAGCAGAAAGTAATTTTAAAATTATTTTGGTGATTGAAGGCTGGTCCTAGTTGTTATAAAGTAGGTTCTGCAGCTTTAGCCATTTGAAGATGCATTTAAGCACCTGACTATGTATGACCTATTCTCCAGGGGCAGAGCGAGCCCTCAGAAGCAGGGCTGGGTGGGAGGCAGTGACAGGATTTGCTGAGGGGTCAGTTGTCCTCCTGCTAGCAGGAGAATGAAGATGTTTCCTCAGAACTAACCTCTGTGGTCTGGAGTAAAGCAGGGTGGGCGCCAGGATGGCGATGGGGAAGGGCAGCACAGACCTGCCTTGGTGTTGGTAGGAAGCTGAAATGCAGCTCAGCAGCTTGAAAACAAGGTGCTTGCAAGGCTGCGAGTGCCTGAGGTTCTAGTCTACCTGTAACTTGCTTAAATCCAACCTTTGAAAATAAAGTTCCATGGAAGTGTGTATATATCCACGTAGATTGTGCCTATCCCATACGAGTTTGTATAGTATCGGTATAGCGAAAATAACACACCCAGAGTGGTGCTAGTCATTGTCTTTTGGGGCATTCCTCGTGAGGAGAAGTTATGATAACAATGAGGAAATTCGTTAAAGGTGGAAGAAAAGTGAGTATCCTGGCCAGCTCGGAAGCGCTGTGGCCAACTTGGGATCACTGTGGCCAGCTCAGGAGCCCGCGGGCTGGCTCTGTCCGTTGCTGCAGTCAGGGCTGCGCTGGGAGACCTGCGGCTCCGAGGTGGGAGCGCGCGCTGCAGAAGGGTGATGTGCAGCACCCAGCTCAGACCCACGGCCTGCCACAAACCGTGTTACAGCAGTGGTTGCTGTTAGGTTTTGCTATATGCATGCCATAGGCATGGCATGGTATTCACAAAAGTGCTGGCAGTCGCTGACACTGGGATGTTGCAGGTAAGCAGTGAGCTACACGGGCCTCTGATGTTCTCCGAGTTCTCTGAAAAGCCTAACTTCCATGTTTTGCTCATACAATTTCCTAACTTCTTTAAAAGGAGTTTTTTTTTCCTTCTGTTTTTCAGTTCCTCCAGGAGTGATACAAAATGGAGCTCGAGTTCTGAGTAGAGGAATATTCCCCGGAGCCAGGCCGTTGCCAATCAACCCTATAGGAAGCATGGCTGTTGCAGTAAGGTAAGAGTGGCTTGTAGCGGGATTCTTAGGAGCAGACTAATATCCTGAAGCGAATATACAAGTAAATCCAAACCCAGCTCAACAGAAACTTGTGGCTGCTTGTTGCTGCCTCTGAGGTTTTAAATGAAAAACTCTCTGCCATCTGAAACTTCAGTATTTTGATTACAGTAGTCATGTCTTGTCTGTCTGTTGCAGTCTGGCTTGTTCAAAGCTTGGTTTAATTTTCACTAGCAAGTTGCAGGTAGGTTACGGTGAGACCTGCCTAGGGGAACCTCTTTTTATAAGTTCAAGTGTATCTGCCCCCTCCTGCTCCAACGTGTTTTTTGTAAAGACAGTTTCCTGAATCTTTTCCTGGGATTAAATACCAGCAAGAAGAATACCAGTAAATGTTGTTTAAAGTGAATTCTGAAATACCTCTAAACATACAGTTGTCATTATTAACTTAGGTCTTAGTGAGGTAGTTTCTTTCATTACTGGTTCTATTTCAAGGTTACACAGAAACATTCAAGGATAAAACATTTAAGATAGTCACTGTTTCCGAAAGCAGGGCAGTAAGAGACATCTAGTGACGGTAACAAGAACTGTGATTCAGTAGCTTGCTTTACTTAAAGCAGTGATGGCTTGTTGTTGGAAGAATGATTTGCCTCAAGGGTAGCTCTGTTTTCAGGGAGTCACAACAGGGATGAGGTTGGTCGTGTGCTGCCCGTGCCCTCGCTTTCAAGGTGTCTGAAGAGGCCATTCAGCCGGGTGGCCCTGTTTGGGAGGGGGCTTCTTGATCCGCAGCGACTCTGCTTTGCTGGGCTGTTCCAGTCCCACACGCTGGGCCGAGTAAAGCCATGTAGGGCAGAGGCATCAGATACCTTGATGACTGTTCATTGCGTTATTACTTGGGTTTTCTCCCCATCTACTCTATATATTCTTATTCCCTTTTGGAATCCGTGTCCTTTGGATGCTTTTTTTTCTATCTGGTAAATGGGGAGAGAGAGAGAGGGAAAACCTGTGACCTTCTCATACCCTTGCTGCTTCAGCAAGCGCAGAGGGGAAGACACTGACGGCCACAGGACCCGTGGCCGTGGTCAGGTCACTGTGGCAGCTGAGCTCGTGGTTGCTGCGCCGAAGGCACCGGCCCTCAGGGCCGTCCCCGGGAGGCCGATCGCTCCTCCACGCAGCTCCACCATCGTCCAGTTTGGCTTCTAGCCGGAGCTTGTATTCGGCTCCAGCGCGGATTGCAGAGCTGGGCCATGACTGGGTCACTAATTATCTGTGTTTTTATGAGGTGTTCAAGGTAAAGGGAATACGCTGTGGTCTCAATGCTATCTCATGAGCTTGTCTATCTGAGTTCCTCATGCAAGGCTGTTTCTTCGTTAGAGAAGATGACCTGTTTCATAACCAGGGGTGACTTAGGGAGGAGGGAGAGAACTGTTTTTCCTTCCTGGCCACTCAAAAATATCCTTCTGTGTGGACACCCCAAAACCGCTATGCTGTAAAGGCTGTATGTAGTTACCTTTGCATTCTGGGAGCACCTGTTTTCTTTTTTCTTTTTTTTTCTTTTTTTCTTTTTTTATTTTATTTCTTCCAGTAGGTTGGACAGAATCTTTTCCGGCTACCAGCTAATGTAGATTTGAGAAATTAGGGATTTTTCCTCTCCCTCTGTAGTTAAGTTCTTTTTACTCTGGCTCAGAGGAAAGCATTTATAAGTAGTTCAATGCAGACATATTTCTAATTCTTTTTGTTCCCTTCTGCAGCCTTAGGCAGTATCAGAAATAGCGCACTATGGATGCATTCCTACTCTGCATGACGTCTGCTCACATTTAAGGGCTCCTGCAATATTCCCTCCCCTCCACTTTTAATTCTTGAAAAAGGGAGGGGAGAAGAAAAAAAATGTGGAAGATTTGGCGAAGTTAGAGGTTCATCCATCATTAGAGGACTCTCTGCAGTGGGGCTAGTTCAGCAGGCAGCTTTGTCTTGTGTCTCTTAAGGATATTAAGATTTAGAATTTCTCAAGGAGGGAAGTGAGGTACCCTATGCAAGGTACCTCTTAGAAAATCACTTGGTCCTCCTCAAACCAGATATGTCTGTTTTCTGTCATTGTAAAAATGATACCCTGTTTCTTGGTGATTATTCCTCTCCCAGAATGGGCAGGATTAATGGGGTCTGTCTTGCTGCATCCTCCTTTGTAGGAGCACTGTTTGCTTGGGGCTGCCTTTCCTACATGGAAACTTCAGCCATGGCTGGCAGGGAATGTTTTTAGACTTGTTGAGGTGAAGGAAGGTCCCTTTCCCTTCCAGCTTTCACCAGGAGGGAGCTCTCCTGGCCTGTCCTGGGAGGTGACACAGTCTCCTGACCCAGTTCCCCAAGGAAATGACATCCTTCTGCCTATATCTTCAGGAAAAGCCAGAGAAGTGCTTTAATGAGTTTTTCAGTTAGGAGACCTCTAGCATTTTCTTGCTAACAGAAACTAAACCTCTCACATCTGTTTTTCTTAGTTACCCTATGTAGAAGATAAGGGTCCTTCTGTAGGGTGCTGAGATTGTGCACGCACTTCCTTCCTGTCAGGGCTGTTTGTTTCATTTTGTGTTTATTTACTCGCTATCTTTAGTTATTCTGGGCTCTGTTTGCCCCCAAAGTGAGGGAATTCCAGTTGCCTGTGATAGCCTAATCTCAGCAAAGTCACAATGTGCATTGTAAACAAAAGTTGTAGGTGTTTGCAAGTCAAAGTCCATGCATTTGAAGTTGCTTGTTTTAGGAGAGCCTGAAGTATTCACAGATTTAAAACTTATTTTTATCTTTTTCATGGAATCTATTCAATGCTGCAATCACAATGAAGGATCCTAGACGTAACTATATGTAAAATTATCTAGTCTCTTTACTGATGGTCAGCCAAACCATTGGAGGTACTGTCAGAAAGCAGCGCAGTTCGGAGCCCACCACTCTCTTGCTGCTTTTATAACAGATCTGCCGTAAAACATAGAAGAACACGAATAAGTTTTTGGACACTAGTTTGCAGTTTCCATATCTTTGTGCTATCTGTTTGTATATTGCATTTTGCTTTTTTCCTGTCAGTTAACTAAACCAAACTCTGTGCTACAGATGCAATCTGGCAGTCTTACTCAATGCAGTACTACTTTCTGTTATATCGTTTGAGTTCTCACAGTTTGGGGCTATAGAAACCAATGACTTCTCTACCTCCTCTTTTTTTTAATGCCCTAGTGCATATTCAGATACTGCTCAGATGCAGACATGACAGTTTCCATATTTTGCTGTCCTAACAGGCCCTTGGTTTTGTTATTTCTCCTTTGGAGTTTCAACATGTTGGTTCTGTTAAGCTGTTCTTTCTCTGCACTTATGGTTGCAGTTTGATGTCGTGTGCTGAAGGATACAGCTAAGTGAAACATGCAAGTCTGCACACTTAGCAGGAAGGTTTCATTTCAGGAAGACTGCATGCAAATAAATGGCTGTATATTACCCAGTTGTGTAGACTGCCATTAGTCTGTCAAATGACTCTGACAGGAAGTTTGGTGTTGGGTTAAATTTACAGTTTTAATTAGATAGAATGTTTTGTTTAACTTGCTATTCATAAAGGAGGCCAAAATCATAACATTAGAACTAAGAGACTGAAATCTGTGATTTCTGATCTATTAGCTCCCATCAACTGGCTATTTACTGTGCTATTCTTTTTCAATACATTCAGTGTATTAGCATCTTCTTGTTCCTGCAAAAGGTATCAACGTGTTGCTGTTCCCATGTAATTATATGTAATTACTTTATCTTTTAGCTATAAAATAATGTATGAAGGAATTAAGTAGTTTGGGGGGAAAAAAGTATTAAAAAACACAACAAATCCACCATTTTCCATGAATAAAGAATAGTGCATCATTATGTTGCAGTGCATTTGGCTTAAATAACACAAGTAGTCCTTTCTCTCCAAACCAATCTACAAATGGAAAAGGCATCCCGCACTATTTTTATTTTAAAAATCATCCTCTGATGTTAAATCTCCGCAGCAGAGCATAATTGAGTGTGTTTTGACAGTAGTTTTTTATTTACTTTATTCTCACCACTTTTAGCTTGTTTACCATCCATATTTTCCATGCTGTGGCTGACAAGTCTAAGCCCCACCAGAAGACAGCAGGGAAAAATAACGCTTCAAAGCTGCACAGCAAGTAGCATGTCTCTAACATGAGATCCATCATATATATTTTTGGCAGACCATATCCCCGTGCAGTTCCCGGAGTAAATATAAAAACAAATGCAGTGATAGTCTGTGTTCATAGAAAAGAAAATGATGCCTTATAAAGGTATTAAATGAAAGCAAGCAAAGCCAAGGTGCAGGTTGTGTATTTAAGATGAGCTCTTGCTCTTATTATGTATATCTGTTAAAGACTTTTATCTATTAAAAAAACTTTTAGAGGCTCAGCTTTTAGGAGGACTTCTGTATCTCTCCCCTTTTGCAGAAGTGTTGCCTTGACAAAACAGTAGGTGCACGAGCCAGTTTGCATCTTGGCAAGGGCCAGGAGGCTCTGTGGTACATATCCAAGTTCCAAATCAAGGAGGTTATAGCAGCCCTTTGGGAAGCACAAGCTTGGAAGCTGACACGCTATTAGAGCTCTTTGAACTACAGATTCAGTGCGTTCAGGACACAGCCTCCCACCACGGTGCTGGTCATTTTCTTAAGAGATCCCCAGTGTGTCCGTGTCGCCGTCCTGTTGCGGAGCGGCCAGCGTGCGAGGCAAGGCCTGCACTGCCTTGCACGTGGACAAACGTGCCAGGGTGAGGATGATGGAGCTGGGCCAGTTTTACAGCACAGGGAATCTCCCAGCTTTGCGACAGACCTTGAAATTCTGTCCCAGATGGTCTGCGAAAGATCTCAGAATCCCAGAATGGTTGAGGTTGGAAGGGACCTCTAGAGATCATCTAGTCCAACCTCCTGCTCCAGCAGGGACACCCAGAGCACGGGGCACAGGGCGGCATCCAGGCGGGTTGGGAAGATCTCCAGAGAAGGAGACTCCACAACCTTCCTGGGCAGCCTGTGCCAGGGCTCTGTCACCCTCACAGTGAGGAAGTTCTGTGTAGTTCTGTGAGGAAGTTCTGTGAGGAAGTTCATGTCCATCTCACATGGAGATGGAACTGCCTGTGTTTCAACTTTCACCCACTGCCCTTGTCCTGTCACTGGCCAGCACTGAGAAGAGCTTGGCCCCTTCCTCTCTACGTTCCCCCTTCAGGTATTTATATATGTTGATAAGATGCTCTCTTATTTTACCCCTCTTTTTTATCTCCTCTTTTATTTTTTATTATTTTAAGGATATTTCACAAAATATCCTTAGCAGTGTTTATGGAGATTACAACATTAACAATCCCTACATTAAAATACCATTTGCTTGCTCTTCATCCTATCTGCTGCTGCTGCTTGGTGGCAACCACCCAAAGCTGAAGCTTCTGACTTTTCCAACTCTCCCTTTGAAACTGCATTGCCTATGTGATAAAAAAAAATGTTGTAGCAAGCCTAAAAGCTGTCAGAATCTGCAAAGCCGACTTCACCTGCACTGCTTTCTTTGTATCTTTTACCTGGGGTGTCTCCAATGGCACTCCAAAGCTGTCACCTGCAGGCATACCATGTGAGTCACCCAGAAGAAGAGAGAGTTAAGGTGATATTTAAACTCTGCATAAGTTTGCTTTGTTCATCATCCTGTCTCTGTTTTAAAATACAGTAAGTGATTTCCCAGAAAAGTTGCCGTTTTGCAGACAGAGTGTGAGTCCTTTTCACTTTGAAGCCAGTGGGGAAACGAAGGGAAATGCTGTGGATCTGTCCTGGAGATTTAGCTTTGTCTCATCCTGAGGAAGGGCCCTTCAAAAGGCCAAGTCCACTAGCCCCGTGCAAAGGAAATAATTTCATTTGTGACTGGAGATGGGGCTCCTGTGGGCTCCATCTGGCTCCTGATGGAATTAGTAACCGCGCTCTTATCAATTAGCAATGGGGAGGCATCAGGCTTCCAAAGGCCGAGCTTATCTCCGCTCGGCTTGAGGCTTTGGTAGTTGTGTGACAGCCAAATTGAAATATTTTTGAGAGAGGCTGTACCTGCTAGTTCTGGTTGTGTAACAGTGGCTCAGATCCCTCGAGCAAACAAAGCAGCCCGTGAGAGGAGGAGAACAAGTGCCGGAGACTCCTGCGGCCTGGCTGGCAGGAGGGCAGCAGGAAAGATAGGGACTATATCTGCTCTGCATGTTCCTCAGGTAAAGTTTTGAACTACAAATGGAAAAGAAATATGGAATTACTTTAACAGAATTTCACCTCACTGTTCAGCTAAGCACAGAATACCTAAAATTCTTTTATCATTTACAAAATCCAAACAAGCGAGCAGGCGTTCATTTTACAAACCCGTGGCTCCCGCTTTGTGAACCAGCTGGTGTCCCAGCTGCCCAGGTAGGTGCTCTTTGCTGAGCTGTCCTTGGGGCGCAGCGTGTCGTGGGGCCCGAGCTGCCAGCGGGGGCACTCCCTGCAGACCCTGTGGGCTGCGCAGCCCTGTGGGCCCCTGCCCGCTGCCCCTCTGCGCTGCTCCCAGCACCGCAGCGATCGTTTCCTGAGCGTACAGCAGCAATCTGCAGCTCCACAAGGTCTCAGAAGCAGCTGCGCCATGGGAATGCTTTACATATTAGTTCACTCGACTCCTATTAGTCTATTAATATCCATTATAAGGAATTCTTTGCATCTTACGTTTGCGGTATTGCCTTATCAAGATAAAAATTAGATGAATTTGCTGCTTGGGTACGTAACTTCTGATCTTGTGACTATCCTACAGCATTCCACCTGTATAACTCATTTTCATTTCTGTGAATATCCTTTGTTAATTCTGTCCTTGACCTGCTTTCTCTTCCTTTTCTTATTTCCCCAAGCAGAACTGGTTGGAAATCTTTCAAAATGTAAGTGAAAAACATAAAGTATTTTCTGAGATACAAATGCTATCCATTTCCTGACCAGTTCCACCATAGATGCTGTTCTTTCAAAGTGTTCCTTTTCCTCCCATTGCTTTAAGTGATTTTTTTTTTGCACCTTTCCATGGACTTGCCTGGTTCTTTGTTGTCACCCCTATTTGCAGTCACTCCCTGTGGGAATCTAAGCCCATAGCAGCATAACTTCCCTCAGGACATCACCTCCAAAATCCCTGGCCCTTTTCATTCTAGTTTTTGTGCTTTTCGAAAGGAGGGGGATCTGGAGTAAACAGTTTGAATCTGAGGGTTTGAATCTAAGGCTTTGAATCTGAATTATTGTCCCTTTAAGTAAAAGAAAACGCTAGAGGCCGCAGAGAGGGGCAGATCAGCCAGGTCTTCCTGGCACAGGGTTGCTCTGCTCCCTGGAATTGTTGCTTTCCTTCTATTGATAGTCTCTCAGAGCAAGCTGAAAAATCAGAGTAGATTTATTAATGTGGAAATAGGCACCTAGATTTAAATCCAATCTGCAAGAAGCCTTGCTAGTCAGTAAGAATCCCTTCGACTTCCCAACTATTATTCTGTCCTGTGTTTGTTTTTCTTGGAGCAAAAATTTATTGCTGGTATTATATAGAAGATTAGTAGCATGAGATTTTATTGAGCCACATTGCCCTGACTATTAGTTGCCTAGTAAAATCAAGTAACTTTAATTTTATGCTAATTTATGATAATTTTGAGCATCTTTAAATGTAAATTTAGCCTAAAAGTGAAGGATCTGTCACTTAAAATGCATCACATGCTTCCTTGTAATGAATGATTTTAAAGAGTTGGTTATAAATTCACCTTACAACTAGTTTAGTATGGATGATTTTTTCTTTTAAGCATTTGGCATCCTCTAATGACAACCCCTGCAGTGGCAAACCATCACAGAGTAAATGCAGCTGGCTTGCTGCACAATCATGAATGACATTGCATTTAGTTATTAATAATTGAAGGAGCTTTGTATGCTCCTTCTGGCTTCTGTATAGAATTTATGGATCGTAAACCTACTCTAAAATCTCAAAAAATAATTTTATTGAGAAAAGAGGTTGGCAAGAGGCTTTCTTTGCTAATAACATTTCTCTTAAAATACTGTAAATAAGAGCATTTAGAATGATTTATTAATTTGCTACCTTTTAGCATTGAATTAACACTGGTTAAAGCCCAGTTTCTTATTTTAGTGAGCTCTATAGACAGAAGCATTTGGATAGATAGGACCTGTGGGATTATATACCACTCTTACATTCTTCACCTTTCAGCCTTACCTTTCAGAAATGGATAGTACTCTCCTGTTTCTTCTGTAAAGAAACCAGACCTGAGGGCCATTCCCTGAAACCTAAAGCACTTTCCCATTATTTAAGCAGAAGGAGCAGTAATACCCTGGGCTTGCCACCATGCCATTCCTCTTAAGAAATAACTATGATGTGCAGCGTGTGCTTTCAGGAATAGCTCCTGAAGCAGCACTACCACAAATGTATGGAAATACTACAGTGAGAGTGAGAAGGTGACAAGACTAGATTTTAAAAAGAGGTTTGTTGTGTGAGAGTTTAAACGGTCGGGCACTGCTCTTCTGATAGGGGTTTGGGGCCAGGGGCCAGGGAGGATTCAATGACCATAAGTCCTGAGCATCTCTCCTCCTTTTTTCTCTGCAGGAATTTAACAGTACACAGGTACAGCCCAGTCTTCAAAGGGCTCGCAGGGATTTTATTCTGTGTTGTAAAGTCAGTGGCAATGTTCCCAATATTTTTCAGTGCAGAAGGGGACACTACTAGTTTTAAATATTATACCATGCTGCAGTAGTTCAGCAGGGCTGAGTGCTGTAAAACCAAAGGGGAAAATGACAGCTTCCAGAGCAGAAAATGACCTTTTTTGTTATTATTATTATTTATAATATATTGTTGGCAGCTAGTGTCTCAAGATTATATTATTTTCAAGATTATCCAGAAACTGATAACAATCAGAAATGTGACTGAATTACTACCTGAGTGCTATACATAGTTACTCACTGTGCCAGAAAGAGTGGAAGCTGGTTCCAGGGGAAATATTTCCTACCTTTCAAACAGCAGAACTGCAGAAGGGTCTCGGAGAGGAAACAAAAACAGTTCCCCAAAAAGACCCTATTTTTGGTAGGGTCATTTCATGTGAAAAAGTGGAGGGAATGTGTGTCCAGGTCATTAGAATGTATTTAGCATCTAGTAAATCCAGTAAGTGGTGGTGGTTGTTGTTTTTTAATTTTATAAAGTGCAAGCTTTTAGTTGCAACGTAAATCAGGACTGCTCAGACATCTTTGGTGTGTCACATCTACTTGCTCCTGCCTCTTGTGCTGTCGCGTTTCCTTTGCTTTGCTTTGTGTGTAGCGTCCAGCTCATAGGCAAGAGGGCTTTGAAACTGGCCTGAGGAGGCATTATTTTAAATGGTCTGTCAGTTTTAGCATTTGTGCTGAAGCAGGATTACATCTGTGTGGTTTCTAAGACTTCTTCCAACCTGTTTTGGCAGGAACGGGATAACAAACTGCCGGATGCGGACGGAAAGCGAACAGTCGTGCGGCTCTCCAGTCGTGAGCGGTGACCCCAAGGAGGATCACAACTACAGCAGTGCCAAATCTTCCAACCACCGGAGCACGTCACCCGCTAGTGACTCCGTTTCCTCCTCCTCTGCTGACGACCAGTATGAATTTGCAACTAAAGGCAGCCAAGACAGCAGTGAAGGAAGTGAAGTCAGCTTCCAGAGCCACGAGAGCCATAGTGAAACAGAAGAGGAGGACAAAAAGCAAAATCGGAAGGAGACCAAGGATTCTTTAGCTGACAGTGGGTATGCATCCCAGCACAAGAAAAGGCAACATTTAATGAAGGCGAAAAAAGTACCAAGTGACACACTGCCTCTTAAAAAGAGACGTACGGAAAAGCCCCCCGAGAGTGACGATGAGGAGATGAAAGAAGCAGCAGGATCTCTCCTGCATTTAGCGGGAATTCGGTCCTGTTTGAACAACATCACCAATCGGACGGCAAAGGGGCAGAAAGAGCAAAAGGAAACCACAAAAAATTAGAACAAATCAATGATTTGTTTGAACTTACAAAGTTTTGTTTCAGCACGTCAGGTGAATTCTAATGATTTGTGGCAATATCAGCAATTTTTTCTTTTTCCTTTTCTTTTTCTTTTCTATTTGTTTTT